ATTGCTTCATTTCATTCATTTATTATAAATATGTTCACACACGATCAACACACAAAGAGAAAGATCGTTTAAGTAATGAGGGCGTCCTTGAAACGCGAGAGAGATGGGAAGGGGACTTTTAAGTTTAGAATCTAAACATGAACCTGCTCGGTCCAAAGAGAGAGTGCGAGTTCTTACGGTAGGCTTACTCTCGTTGCTGCTTAGTCAACTTAGTGCTAAGTGCTACTAGATCTAGGCCTACCGACAAAGCGGAAGTTAACGATACTGCCGTACGAATAGAATATTTTCTTGTCGTACGGTCCCGTACGGGTAGCCACTATTCTTATCCGTACGGTCCCGTACGGGCAGCCACGGCGTTACGGTATAGAGGGTATAGGGTTAGGGTTAGTGTTAGGAGTTAAGGTATACACACCCCGCTCAAAATAATCCCCTCTTTTTGTGTGTTGTTGGTCGACCGGCCCTCTCTGCGGAACTCCTGCCCTAGAATAACCATCTAGAATCTAGAAACCAGATTCTAATAGTTCTAGATCTTGATCTGGTCAATCTGAACACACACTAGATCTATAACTCTGCAAGTCACAGCCACAGACTCCTCTAGATCTAGAATCTAGATCTAGATCTAGTATAGTCTGCCTAGCCTAGACTCCTAGACAATGATGTCTCTTGTGACTGTGCTATAGTTGATAGGAAAGACTGACAAATTTTAGAACTCAAGACTGTGAAACTATGATGTAGATCTAGATCTAGATCTACTTACAGTTATGTTATCCCTTCTCAGGCAGAAACTGTCTGGCATCTGGGTGGACATGAAATAGAGCATTGGTTTCAACCTAACTTTGAAGTCGGACCCATGTTGTAAAAGGCCAGGGCGAGCCCGGCTTGACTGATTCATCAAGGACAAGCATCGACAGCAGACAGTCAACGAAGATCTGAAAGGCATCGTTCTTGGGTTTGATTCTCTTCTGGTGTTGTGTAGCAAGGAAACCAAGAGAAATAACACAAGTGGTTAAAGTAGGGTAAATACACAAATACAATGGTTCAACTTTCTTTTTAAAAAACACAACTTTTTCGACCACTGAACTGCGTCCGAGGTTACAAATTATGAAAGTTCAGTAAAATGAAAGCGAAACGAAGAGTTAGACTTCCGGAGGAAGCATGCGCAGAATTATTATTTCGATGTTATAAGATTTTAATATCAAAAATTAAATTTCCTTTTTTTTTCTTTTTAGCAACAACTCTTCGGAACTCCACACACACACACA